TTTGACACCAAAGGTTGACTAAAGCTTTCCGTCCACGTGTGCCGATGAATCGGTCCCTGGGTCTTCGACATCTCCAAAAGAGGACTCGAGGCGGCCACATCGAGCTGTCGAGGCAGAAATCTTGACTGTCTGGCGTAAAAGCCTCTCAGCTCCGCCGCCTGGACTAATTGGCTCTGGTGCTGTTGCATAATCTGCACGCTGTGCGCATGACTGCAGTAGCCATGGTGACGATTGTGATGCCGTCGCCTCTGCCGCAACAGGTCCGTACTTGCCGGGCTGGTAGAAGCCGAGGTGAGCGAGACTTCGGGCGGCAGAGGCAGGATACACGAGTCCGAGAGCGTAGGAGGAAGATCCCAGGGCTGACAGAATACGGTACTGGCATAGCTGCTATTGTCTCCGGGACTGGATCCTCGAGGTGTCTCTTCTCCGGCCGCGCTATCTCCAATCATTGTAACCCCCCTCACCACCTCCTCTTCTTCTTCCTCCTCCTCCTCCTCCTCTTCCTCCTCTTCCTTCTTTTTATTCATATTCTCCTTCTTCTGCTTCTCTTCCTCCTTCTTCCCTTCCTTCTCCATTCTCCCAATGCCATCCTTGCCCATGGTCTCCTCGAACAGCCCGGCAAACTGGAATGGAATCGGTCGGCGTCGTCGGCTAGCATGATCGCGCAGTGTGATTGTAGTCTGCTCGAAGTCTCTCGCTTCATCAAGCTGCATTTCACCAGTTGCTGTTTCGGGTAACAACAGTGGCTGCTGGTCTTGTTGCCCCTCGTACCTGTCCTCCTCAAAGCTCCCTAGCGTAACTGGGCTGGATTTGTTGGACCGAATGATGGGATCGCTTTGCCTGGAAGCCTCGGAATTGACTGGCTCCACCGGTGAACAGAGGGGCATAAGGCCCAGTCGACAGTCAGGCCCTGAGTTAGCATCCTCTCTCTGGGGCCGATAGGCATCTGAAAGTGAAAAGCAGCTCATTTTAATACTTTGCTGTACCAGGCCCGAGAATATCCCTCAATTGGTGAAATGAAATTCGTTATATATTTTGATTACCAATGTCCATTACAATAATACGATAATGAAATTATGGCATCGCTCCAATGAAGCTTTGGTATAAGTAAACATTTAGTCCCACTAGTTTTTATAGGGGAAGTTTTTTCCACAATACATGTGTATGCCTCATGATGACAGTTAATTTAATTTCATTAGGGTGGACTGCACCTTAAACCATCAGCAACCTGATGGGATTCGAAAATGGGTCGTAAACA